ATCATTCAGATAAAACTTTTATATATGAAATTGTCTTGTTAATATTTAGAGCTTTTCAATGTGTACTCCAAAAAGCTTTAACGAAACTGAAGGTTTGCTTATTAAGCAAAGTTCTAGTAAAATAATTTTGAGATAATCTTAAGCTTTTTATGAATGAAAGTCAAAGTTTGATTGAAATTTAATCAAAGCTACATATTTAGCGCTTTTGAGTATGGAATTTTAAAATTTTGTATTAATCACGAGCTTTTCAAAATGAAAATCAAAATTTGATTAAATTTAAATTTTTCTTTTTAATAAAGCTTAAGTTTTAACTCCACAAAAGATTAAATTAGTCATTGAACTTAAAGTTTTGAATATGAATATGTCTACTGCATATCAAGAGCTTTTTCAAGGTGGAATTCGAAAATTGTGTTTTAATTTAGAGCTTTTCAATGTGAAAGTCAAGTTTTGAATAAACTAAATTTTAATCAAAGCTGTTCCATCATTGAGCTTTAACTTTTAAATCTAAAATTGACTTATGTATATCTAAAGCTTTTTAGTGTTGAATTGTGAAATTCTGTTTAAAACTTGAAAGGTAATAGTGGATTAATAGAAGGTTTTATTTTTAAATAAAGCTTAAATTTAAAGTTAAAATTAAACTTTAAATCTCAAAATATTCTTAAACATAGCTAGAGCTTTTCAATATGAAAGTAATGATTTGATTAAACTGAAAGTATTCTTTTTAAATCAAAGCTAAAGTTTGAACTCAACTAAAGCTTTAATTTAAGCTTTACAATATAAAATTTATAAAATAAAAGAGTTTAGCTTTTTAATCAAAACTTTAGCTAAAACTTTTTAAGCTGAAATCTAACACAGAGCTTTGTAATATTCAATGTTTAATTAAACTAAAGTTTTAATTTGAAAGCTTTTTAGGGAAACAGATCTAAATATAATAAAACTTTAGCTACATATATTTAAGATTTACAAATTCAAGTTAAACTTTCGATGAGATAAAACTGAAAATTTGCCATTTTTAGGCTTAGCTTTTTAATAAACACTTTAATTAAAACTTTTAAAGCTGAAATCTAACACCGAGCTTTGTAATATTCAATGTTAGTTTAAACTTAAGTTTTAATTAGAAAGCTTTTTATTAAAACAGATCTCTATTTAAGATTTAAAAGTTTAAGCAAAACTTTCATTGAGATTAAACTTAAATTTTGCAATGTTTGTAAATCTAAATCGAATAGAAGGTCTGAAAAGGATGCTCAACAATTATGAAGAGTTTTTCTTAAACTTTTTTAATGATTTGCTTAAGCGTTTGTCTGTTACATTTGCTAGATTGTCTATTTCTATTCTTCAACAATTAGGAGTAGTTTTACTTTAACTTTGTTTAATGATTAGCTTAAGCGTTTGTCTTTACATTTGCTCGATTGTCCATTTCTTTATTGGTAGAAGTAAGACCCCTACAGTTTGGTTTAAAAACACATTCAGTAAACTTTCAGGTGTTCATTAAATGAAAAAAAGTGTTAACTCATAAATTATCCTCTAAACAAACTTGGTTTTTATTGGAACTGCATATAAAATGTCATCAAACTTTATTTAAATTTTTGGTGGAAACCTATTTTCTAGTGGTTAGCACAAAACCCCCCAAAAATTTAGTAGAATGCGGGTTAAGTTTTTTCTTTTAAAATGCAACACATGCACGCCACAAACACGTGCCACAATTACGTCGCTCAAGTGTGTCCAACAGATATCTTTACCCAAAAAAAGAGTTAAATAATCTAAACTTGGCTAATTTCCGTATAAAATGCGGGATGACAAAAGTAATACAAGGGGAAGAGGGTAGAGAAATTTTTAAATAAAAATTGTTAAATTAACACGTTTTAAAAAAAGTTATCAAAACAAGAACTAAAAACTAAATTAAATGATTAAATGAAACTGAAAAACTAAAGGTGACCAGGTGTTGAAAATATGAGATAAATATAAAGAAACTTGTTATAAAACGAGGAAATTTCTTTTAGTGTATAGTTTTTATTAAGGGGGTGTATTAAATTTACTTTAGTTGTAACAAACATTTAAGTTTAAAATTTCATTTGAAAAAAAAAAATGTGTTACGTAGACATTAATTTGCAGGAAACTCTATATGGTTATTTAAAACTCGAAATTTTTTTCTTATTTTAAGTTTTGAAAATTCAAATTGTAAATATGTTTGTATGTTTGTGAATAATTATTATATGTCTGCCGCCAGCAACTGAAAAATAGCAAACAATTTGAAATTTCCAACAACAAAAACTAAAGTTTATTTAGGCTATTTGGCATTAAATGTATGAGTTTGTATTCATAATTGTTTATTTACATTTATTGTTGTTGGTTGTTTTTTTCAAACCAAAACCCACAGTGTGAAAATTTATTTCAAATAAATAAATTACAAACAAAATATGAATTCAAAAAAAAAAACAGTTGCAGTTTTAATTTTGTTTAAAAATGAGGTTTTTGTGGTGAACATAAAATTCTTTAATGGTTATTTTTTTTTTTCTTTTTAAAGGTAATTTGTGAAAAAAACAATATTTTGAAATATTGAAATATTAATATTGAATTATTTAATTGCAAATGTCTAGTTTGTATTGTTTTTTTATTGTTTATAAATATATAAAAAACCATATAGTTTTTTAAAATTGTCGTACAGCATCATTGTAGAAATTGTATAAATAGTTGTTTATATATAAAATTATATGAGAAAATACCCTACCTTAAATGGGAGGGTATTATAAGTTAATCCAAAGTTTATGTTTTATGCTTTAATCAATCTTAAACGAACAACTTCTAGATTTATATATATTAAGCTTTATTTTGTTATTAAACTTGCTTTAGTAGTAAATCTCTGAAAATTCGAGTGAAATCGTGAAGATTGCCTGCAATAACAGCCCGAAGTTATCTATATAGACCAGTCCAAAGACGAGTACATGGACCAGTTCATAGACGAGCCAACATACTAGTCTATACATTAGTCAAGTGACTAGTCCTCTATTCCACGGACTAGTCAGAGTACTAGTCCATAGACTAGCCAATAGCCTAGTCCATAGCATAGTCAATGAAATATTCAATAGACTAGTCCAGAGAATAGTCAAAGAACTAGTCAATAGTCTAGTCCATAGACTGGTCAATGGACTAGTCCATAGACTAGTCAATAGAATAGTCAAAGAACTTGTCAATATAATAGTCAATGAACTCGTCAATAGCCTGGTCCATAGACTAGTCAATAGACTGGCCCCTAAACTAATCAATAGACTGGTCCCTAAACTATTCAATAGCCTAGTCTATAGAATAGTCAATAGCCTAGACATAGGACTAGTCAATAGGCTAGTCAACAGAATAGTCAAAGGACTAGTCAATAGACTTGTCAATGAACTAGTCAATTGGAAAGTTCATAGACTAGTCCGTAGACTACTCAATAGAATAGTCAAAAGATTATCAATAAACTAATCAATAGGATAGTCCATAGTCTAGTCTAGTCAATAACCTAGCCCAAAGACTAGCCAACAGACTAGTCAATAGACTAGTCCATAGACTACTCAATAGACTAGTCAATAGCCTAGTCAAAGGCTATTCAAAGGACTAGTCAATTGGATAGTCCATAGACTAGTCAATGAACAAGTCACTAGCCTTGTCCATAGACTAGTCAATAGACTGGTCCCTAAACTAGTCAATAGCCTAGTCCATAAACTAATCAATAGCCTAGTCTATAGATTAGTCTATAGCCTAGTCCAAACAATAGTCAATAGGCTAGTCCATAGACTAGCCAATAGAATAGTTAAAGGACTAGTAAATAGATTAATCAATGAACTAGTCCAAAGACTAGTCAATGACCTGGTGCCTAAACTAGTCAAAAGCCTATTCTATAGAATAGTCAATAGCCTAGTACAAAGATTAGTCAAAGGACTAGTCAATAGGCTAGTCCATAGACTAGTCAATATGCTAGTCTATAGACTAGTCAATATGCTAGTCTATAGACTAGCCAATAACCTAGTCCATAGACTAGTTAATAGTCTAATCCATAAACTAGTCAACAGACTGTTTCAAATAGACTAATCAAAAAATAGTCAATAAACTACTCCTTAATCAATAGACTGGTCCGTAGGATAGGAAATTTGTCCAACTATTTATTCGACCTCAACCAATAAATTTTAAACTCAAAGCTATAAAAGAAGGGGGTCTTCTACCGACGGAATGGCAAACTAAGTTGTAAAACAAAAACAACAAGAAAACATCATATTCGAAAAACACCTGAATTAGCTAATTTAAGTGTGACTGACTGAATGCCTATGAAAAAAAAACAACTCCCAGGAAATATGAGGCGTACAGAAAAGCCATAAAAAACTACTTACTAACTGAAAATCTTTGTACTTTTGATTCATTATTTTTTTAACAAAAAATCACCGTAATAAATTTCATTACTTTAAAAAAAAATATTGAAAAAATACTATGAATTTAAAAAAAAACAAAAGAGTATAATTTCTATTAGTCATTTGGAATAAAAGGTTATTTTTTGTTGTTGTTGTAGTCATTGAAAGTGCATATAACTGTAAAACAAATCAGGTTACAATTATTGAAAAATATTATGGAAATAGTATGAAACTATTGTTTAGTGTTGAGACTTAAAAAGAAGCACGTGCACTTGAAATGTTATAGATGACAGAATATTTTCTAGGAAAACCAATTACGAAAATGGAGGGAAAAACATTATTTGTGTTTATTGATTGTAATTTCAATTAAAATTTTAATTGTTTCGCTGTTTGTTTAGTCTTTTGCTAGTTTATTGCTTAAAACAAATATTGATTAAATTATTTATTAAGAAATTAGTTTAAGCAATTAAATTTAGAGATTATTTTAAAATGGAGGAAAAATACAAACTTTAATTGATACAACGAAGTTTTGTAATTGATATTTTCATCAATACTAGGAATATATTAATACTTCAAAAACTATTACTTTTTCAAGGGTCCAAAGAATCTTTTACTTACCTATTCGATAGTCCCGGTGAAGGTGGTGAGGTGAAATTGAACAGCTGCGATTGATCGGGTCCCGTCAACATAGTATAGATATCACGATGACCCGCAGCACTGGCATTCGTTAACTGGGTAAAACTTTGCAAAGTAGCCATATCACCCGACTGCGATAAAGCCGATGAAGGTGAAGGAGATTCAGCACCCGAACTGGCCGAATTATTATGATGTAAATGATGTATACTCTGTAAATGATGATGCGGTGAAGAGCTTTGCAAATGGGCGGGAGCAATAGAGGGTAAATGTGTTAATTCGGTTAAATTGGCCGAATGATAGGAATCCTTTAGGGATTGAACATCAACAGAGCTTGAAAGTGTTAAATAGCTAACACCAGTATGATGATCTTCCAGGCATTCATCTTTTAAAGTGTCCTGTATAACCTCATCTATGCTGGTTGGTGTATGAGCAGAGGCACTAACATTTTGCACACCCATTAAAGGATGATGATGATGATGCACAAGCTCGTGATGAGGATTATAGGTGGTGGTGTAGAGTCCTAGATTTGATCGCATATTGTCGTCGTGTAAATAATTGGTGGTAGAAGGAGTAACGCTACTGCTATTGGCAGGATTTATTAAATGACCCGAGCTGGTAAAATAGGCTGTACTAGCTGAATGATGGGGATTATGATGGGCCGCCGTATGATGTAATTGAGCCAACGGCGAAAAAAGCTGCAGATTTATTAAATCTTTATTCGTATTATCTCCGTTAGAGGGAGTATGATTCAAAGATAAATCATAGGCACAGGAGTTATAAGAATTTAACCAATGTTCCGTATTAGAGGGGTGATGTTGTGGTAATTGCGCCTGCAATTGGGCTCCAGTTAAGGGTGAGGGTTGTTGTGATGTTAAATGTGCCGTAGAACCTATAACTGCCAAATTTAAATTTGGATCATTGCTAGAGGCATTGAGTATATTATCGGTGGCTATATATTCACTTGTTGTATAAAGAGAACTTTGTGGGATTTGAGAATTAGTGTTATTATTATTATTGTTGTTGCTATTGTAATTTGTTATTATCACTGAATTATTAGCGCCACGATAATTTTGTGGAGCTGTGTTGTTGTTGTTGTTATTATTTAGAAGATTTTTTGCATTATTTGTTGCTGTTGTTGTTGTGTTATTATCATTTAAATTTTCTAATGAATTTGTGGGTGTTGCTGCTGATGTTGTTGCTGTTGTTGTTGTAGTTATAACACGATTTATCACTGTTTTATTTGTATTATTATCACTATTAGTATTATTAATTAATTTTTGCTGATTGGCTAACGTTTCAACACTGTTATTATCATTATTGTTGTTTTTATTATTATTGTTAACACTTTCTGAAACGTCACTTTTATTATTATTATTATTGTTATTATTTGTATAATTTTTATGAGAATTTTCTAATTTTTGCTCATTTATATTCGTATTTGAGAATTTTTTATTATGATAATGATCTTTAGCTTCGTCATTTATGTTAGCGACTGTTGTTGCTAAATTATTATTCGTTATCGTTGTTGGAGACGCTGCTGTTGTGGTTATAATTGTGTTTATCTTTGGTGTCTGTTCGTCGTTTTTCAAATTTTGTGTATTTTGTACTTCGTTTATGTTCGTCGCTGATGTACGTAACACTGTTTGGTTTGATGTTTCGTTGACAACTGATATGAATTGTGGTGCCTTAGCAGCCAAAGACGATAAATTCAAATTCGTAGTTGGTGTGGTGGTGATCGTTGCCGTTGTCGCCGTTGCAGAACCTAAAAACTCATTGTGTACAACGCTGGTAGTAGCAGTTGTTGTTGTTGTTGCCTGTTGCTCTCTTTCTGTTATTGTTATTCCTTGTTGTTGTTGTTCTGGTGTTGGTGAATTTCTTCTTGTTGTTGTATTTCTTTGTATATCCGAATTTATTGTATTTATGAGGGTAGTATTTGCCGTTGTTGTTGTGGCTATGGAGTTTAACGGTGTTTGCTGCTGTTGCAGGGATGATCTTCCCTCTTTTTCACATTCTATCTCTTTCTGTAGCCCAACATTATTTAAACAGTTTGTTAACTGTTCCTGTTTTGTATTAAAAAAGGATTCTTTTGATCCTTTGTCTTGTATTTCATTTTCTCTTTCATAGTTCGTTTGCTGCTGTTGTTGTGTTTGGTATTGTTGTAGATTATTTAATAATGACTGACTTGCTGTTGTTGTCGTCAATGAAGTTAATCCTTTATTTGTTAATTTACGATTTTGTTTAGAATTTACTATAGCTTTGGTGATTTTCATATTGGCAGCATTTGTTAATAAAGAATTATTACTGCTGCTGCTATTAGTATTAACACGATTTTTGGTTTTAGCTACTTTAGAGGTTAGAGGTAAATTACGATTATTGGCACATTTCATGATTTATGTAAACAATATTTCAAATAAAAAATTCTTATATTTTATCAGCAACAAAAACACTTAAAACATTTTATTATTATTTATTAGAAATTACAAAATAACAATTTATATATTAACTAAATAGTTAATGTTTAATTTAACAAATTCCTAAGTTGTGTTTAACAAAAAAACAAAATTTAATCCGCGTTTCGTTTCAATTCAAACTTGACGTTTTGAGTTTTTTCTTAAAACTGTTAGTCAGCATCTCATGTTTTAAGCCTCCATTCCCTTAATCTCTTATTAATTTCATTCCGTCTTTCATCTTTAGTCTGTTTTTAATATAAAACATTTTATTAAAAAAAAAAAAAACTTCATTAAAAATCCACCATTTTTATATTTATTTTGTTATTTTCCCTTTTAATTAATAATATTAATACACTCTCTCTCTCTGTGTTTTTGTTTTACCGTTTTATGTTTTCCTTTTGTTTTTATGAATCATCCATTTCTCTTGATCGCACCCTCTCTCACTCTCTTACTCTCTTTTGCTGTTTACTGAGTGTTGAAATTTTGTTTTGTTTTAAAATATTCACCTCTTATATTCCTCTCTTTATCTGGCTTATAGTATTTGGGATTGGTTATATTCCTGGCCTGCTTTTTCCCACATTTGAAATCTTTATCTGTTTTAGTAACGCCCTTTTGGTCTTGTGTTTAACCATTTGTTTTGTTTTTTTTTTGTCTTGTTTCAAAACCAACAACAATAATAAAAAATCACAATGGCTTTTCATATTTTATGTTTTTATTGTTGTTTTTAAATTGTTTTTTGTAAAGTCATTCCCTGACGTTTTATGCTATTTTTTCTTTGATTCATTGTGATCTAATAACAGTTTCTATTAATAGTTAAATATGGTTTCTAATTTTATTTTGTTAATTAATTTTGTTGAATTTTGTTTTAAAAATTTTGAAAACCCTAAATGAATGCTTTGCAAACGATGTTAAGATGAAGGGTTCTATAAATAAACTGGAGTTTATGACATTTAATTGCTTCTTCAATTGGAAGCTCAAACTTGAATTAGTTGACTAACTATTGACTAGATTATAGAATACACTAAACTATAGACAAGACTGTAAACTAGACTATAGGCAAGACAATAGACTAGAGAATAGACTATACTAAGTATAGACTAGACTGTAGGCAAAACTATAGACTAAAGACTAGACTATAGACTAGACTATAGACCAGACTATAGACTAGACTATAGATTAGACTATAGACTAGACTATAGACTAGACTATAGACTATACTATAGACTAGACTATAGACTAGACTATAGACTAGACTATAGACTAAACTAGACTATAGACTAGACTATAGACTAGACTATAGACTAAACTAGACTATAGACTAGACTATAGACTACACTATAGACTAGACTATAGACTAGACTATAGACTAGACTATAGACTAGACTATAGACTAGACTATAGACTAGACTATAGACTAGACTATAGACTAGACTATAGACTAGACTATAGACTAGACTATAGACTAGACTATAGACTAGACTATAGACTAGACTATAGACTAGACTATAGACTAGACTATAGACTAGACTATAGACTAGACTATAGACTAGACTATAGACTAGACTATAGACTAGACTATAGACTAGACTATAGACTAGACTATAGACTAGACTATAGACTAGACTATAGACTAGACTATAGACTAGACTATAGACTAGACTATAGACTAGACTATAGACTAGACTATAGACTAGACTATAGACTAGACTATAGACTAGACTATAGACTAGACTATAGACTAGACTATAGACTAGACTATAGACTAGACTATAGACTAGACTATAGACTAGACTATAGACTAGACTATAGACTAGACTATAGACTAGACTATAGACTAGACTACAGACTAGACTACAGACTAGACCATAGACTAGACTATATACTAGACTATAGATTAGACTATAGACTAGACTATAGATTAGACTATAGACTAGACTATGGATTAGATTATAGACTAGACTATAGACTACACTATAGACTAGACTACAGATTAGACTACAGACTAGACTATAGACTAGACTATAGACTAGACTATAGACTAGACTATAGACTAGACTATAGACTAGACTATAGACTAGACTATAGACTAGACTATAGACTAGACTATAGACTAGACTATAGACTAGACTATAGACTAGACTATAGACTAGACTATAGACTAGACTATAGACTAGACTATAGACTAGACTATAGACTAGACTATAGACTAGACTATAGACCTAGACTATAGACTAGACTATAGACTAGACTATAGACTAGACTATAGACTAGACTATAGACTAGACTATAGACTAGACTATAGACTAGACTATAGACTAGACTATAGACTAGACTATAGACTAGACTATAGACTAGACTATAGACTAGACTATAGACTAGACTATAGACTAGACTATAGACTAGACTATAGACTAGACTATAGACTAGACTATAGACTAGACTATAGACTAGACTATAGACTAGACTATAGACTAGACTATAGACTATACTATAGTATAGACTAAAACTATAGACTAGACTATAGACTAGACTATAGACTAGACTATAGACTAGACTATAGACTAGACTATAGACTAGACTATAGACTAGACTATAGACTAGACTATATACTAGACTATATACTAGACTAGACTAGACTATAGACTAGACTATAGACTAGACTATAGACTAGACTATAGACTAGACTGTAGACTAGACTATAGACTAGACTATAGACTAGACTATAGACTAGACTATAGACTAGGCTTTAGACTAGACTGTAGACTAGACTATAGACTAGACTATAGGCTAGACTATCGACTAGACTATAGACTAGGCTATAGACTAGACTATAGACTAGACTATAAACTAGACTATAGACTTGACTTTAGATTAGACTATAGACTGTGGAATATTCTATAGACTAAACTATAGACTACAATATCGACTAGACTATAGACTAGCCTATATACTAGACTATAGACCAGACTATAGACTAGACTTTGCACTCGACTATAGGCAAGCCTATAGACAAGAAAAATTCGAAGACACCCAATTTTGGTAAGAGACAATCAAAGACCGATTTGCATGCAATTTTGGTATAGATATCGATTCTTATAATCGTAACATTTTTAAGTCAACTGTTAAACTTTTGCCATAGGTATTTAACAATATAATTTTTGGTTACAAAAATCTTACTCCTATTTGTACCCACTCGGGTCCTGCATAGGACTTTATGATTTTAAACCATTTTACATGGGATTTTTATTTAAATTTTCCAATTACAAGGTGCTAAAATCTCTATTTGACCCATTGTGCACGTTAGATTTCTCTAGCGGTTTCAACTAATAAATCCCTGTGAGAAAATATCTTTAATTTCTTACCACAACACTTTTCTAACAAAATAAACCAAGATATTTTCTAATATAACACCAATAAATATCTGGCCACAAGACTGTGAAACCATGTTTTTCGTATGACTTAAAAAAAATCAAAAAAAAAAAAATATTTAACCACAATTTTTTTCTTAAAATTTATTTTTACAATGAACTTTTTTTTACAGTTCATGAATATGTATATTTGGAACATAAATTTCTTGAAAAAAATTGAAAAAATTGTTGTATTTAAGATTTTAATGTTGTGTTTAAAATTGAATTTGTTTTCGTTTCAATTTTTTTTTTTTTTTTTGTTTTCATATTGAACTTTGTTGACTTCCCAAAAAAAACAAAAAATTAAAAAAAAATAATTAACTGATAAGAATTTATTTACTATTGACTTGTTTCAAAAGTCTACATACATATTTTTATGAATTATAGGATTTTTTTTTAATTATAAAACAATAACGAAAAATATGGACTTTTTAAAATGCGGGAAACTTAATTTTTTTTTTAATTTATAATTTTTTTTTTTTATATTTAACAAATATTAAATAAATCGCAATAATTATTTCCCTTTTTACTTGAATAACGCAGTCTTTATGTTCAAATTTACACTTAGAGAATCAGCTGCTAAAATCTTCGAATATTTGACATGTAAATCCCTAAGAACTAGTTCTAGAAGTGACTCTATATAACTTCTATAGAAGCAGTTCTGATTGCCAAATATAACGGCATACTGATCCCAGATAGAATGTCATTAGAACATTAGAGCAAATACTTTTAGGAATTCGTTGCTACACGGATGACTCGAAATTGGGGGACAAAGCGGGTCTGGTGTTTTATATTGAAACAGAAGCTTCCAGACAGAGCAATAACGCATTCCTTTGACGCCAACAGAGGTTAACATATTTACCGACAGCCAGAAGGCAATTAGGGCGATATCAGGTGATAAAGTTAAATTCAAGACCGTATTGGATTGTAGAAAGCTCTAACCGAATACTCTATCAAAGGTAAGGATTACATCATATGAAAGAAAGAACCTTAAAGGCAAAGGAGCTCAAGGTCTAGCTAACTACCTTGAGCTCCCTTAGTTAGTCCCTTATCACTTAAAGTAACCCTAACGAGAGCAGAACGACAAGTCACCTCAACATGAGCAAGTCTGAGGTTAGTATGATGGTACGTAATATGAGTGGATCAGAACATAAAGAAAGGACAGTGACACTCTGGAGCAGTTTCTTTCACCGAAATTAGATCCAAATATTTCGGGAATGATATTGACATCAGACGATAATGAATACTATATAAGGTTTTTGTTTTTACCAGCAAAGATTTTTTAATGAAAAGGAGTGCACAACCTAAACAAAAATCAGTTAGTTAGTTAGTTAGTTACTTAGTTAGTTTGTTAGTTAGTTAGTTAGTTAGTTAGTTAGTTAGTTAGTTAGTAGGTAGTTAGTTAGGTAGTTAGTTAGTTAGTAGTAGTTAGTTAGTAGTTAGTAGTTAGTTAGTTAGTTAGTAGTAGTTAGTTAGTTAGTTAGTTAGTTAGTTAGTTAGTTAGTTAGTTAGTTAGTTAGTTAGTTAGTTAGTTAGTAGTATTAGTTAGTTAGTTAGTTAGTTAGTTTAGTTAGTAGTTAGTTAGTAGTTAGTTAGTTAGTTAGTTAGTTAGTTAGTTAGTTAGTTAGTTAGTTAGTAGTTAGTTAGTAGTAGTTAGTTAGTAGTTAGTGTTAGTTAGTTAGTTAGTTAGTTAGTTAGTAGTTAGTTAGTTAGTTAGTTAGTTAGTTAGTTAGTTAGTTAGTTAGTTAGTTAGTTAGTT